AGTATTAATAAAGGTAGGGAAGCTTTATTGCTTTATGGTTTTAGAAAAGGCTATAAGAGTGGATAGGGAGCAATGTGGCAGATGTTGCAAGTATATGGAATAGGTGGAAGTTACTAAATGCTGTTAAAGTTTTTATGAGGATAGTGAGGCCGGGTTTGGGGTGTGTAGAAGAAGGGAAAATACTTCCGGTAAAAGAAAGGTCTTAGACGGGTGTGTAATGTCACCATGGTTGTTTAATATATTTATAGATGGGGTTGTAAAAGAAGTAAATCTAGGGTTTTTTGGGAGAGGGGGGGGGTTAAAATTATGGGAATCAAAATTCAAATGGGAATTGAACAGTTATTTTTTTGTGAGATACTGTGCTTAGGGGAATTAAAAGAAAAATGCGAAGGTTGTGATGATTTGAGAATGTGGTAAAGTAAAAGTTGAAATGAACATAGAAAAGAGAAAGTGATGGGGGGTTAAAATGATTTAATAAAGAAAAATTGGATATCAAATTGGGGGGGGAGGAGTATGGAAGAAGTGAATGTTTTCAGATATTGGATTTAGGTCGGGGGGAAATGATTTATAAAGGATGGGGTTTAAATCATAGAATTGATGGGGGAAAAAAAGGGAGGGGTGGTTGGGGTTATGTAGAGCAAAAAATTTATTTTTGGGATCAAAGAAGGGAATGTATGAAAGTATGAGTCCCAAACACTTTTACGGGGATGTGAAGCTTGTGGTAAATCAGCACGGGGAGACTTTTTAAGGAGGGGAGATGTCCTGTCTAAGGGCAATGTTGGTGAAAATATTATGCAGAAAATTCGGAGTGGGGAAAATTGGGGAAAGGGTTGGGGAGTTAATAAAAGCATTATCAAGGGCAAAAGGGGTTGTTGGGGGGGTTTGGTCTTTTAGAGAGAAGGGACCAAAGTAGAATGATTTTGGAAACATAAAATCTATGGGGGAAAGGGAAAGAGGGGTAGGGGTCGTCCTAAAAGGGGTTTGGGAAAAGAGGGTAAAGGGGGTTTTGTGGCCGAGGGGCGGGGACTTCCACAAGCGTGCATGGCGTGTTAGATGGGAGTAAATGGGGGAAAGAATGATACTTGGGGGACCTGACGTCTTTGGGAGTGTGAGCGGGGAATATTTATAAAGGGATTCAGGGAAACCCGGTTTTTTTTCAATGTCGGATTGAGTCCCGGAAATGGGGGTCAATGCCTCACTTTAAAGGAGGGGTTTGGGGTTTCGAGTTTGGGTAGTTGGTTTTTTATACGTAATGCTTTGAATGTTGTATTCTGAGCCCTCTGCCCAAAAACAGTGATAATGTGTAGGTGGTGAAAGTGTTTTAATATGATGATATTTTCTTTTTGGGAATTTTCTTTCTTTTTTTTTGGGTCACCCTCCCGGTGGGAGACGGGGGCCCACTTTAAGGAAAAAAAAAAAAAAAAAAAAAAAAAAAAAAATTCCCTTCTTTCCCTCCAATTTTAACATTTTTTGTCTCCACATATACCTCAACAACCCTCACCTTTTTTCACTCCCAAATTTTATGGTTAACCCACGTTCATAACCCTCTGCTGACCAAACAAAATCCCAAATATCTGAAAAAATTTACTTTTTCCATATTTCCCCTCTCCAATTTTTCTTTATCTAAATCTTTTGATACTCTCATCACCTTACTCTTATCTATGTTCTCGTTCAAATTTCAAATTTACCACACCCCCCAAACTCGTCCACTAACCTTTGCACTTTATTTTTTTTAGAATACCCCTCACCAGATCATAGCAAAAAGTAACTGTGTCAACTTGAATTTTTTATTTATTCCCCCTAATTTTAAACCCACCCCCCCCCAACTTCCTAGCATTTTCTTCTTTTCAACCCCATCTATAAAACATTTAAAAACCATGGTGACATTACACATCCCAGGGTAAGACCTACTTTTACCCGGGGAAATAGTCTCCCTCTCTTCTACACACCCTAGCTTGGCCCCACAATCCTCTAAAAATTCTTTTCACATTTAGTAAATTACTACCAATTCTATTCATACTTTCACCATGTGCCACATTGCTCTCTTTTCCACTATCAATGCCCTTTCTAAATCCATAAAAGAAGAACACTTTTTCCCCATCTTTTTCTAAATATTGTTCAATATATCTTTAATTTAAAACTTTTATCTACACATCCCCTACCAACTCAAAGCCTCCTTGCTCATCTGCAATCCTACTCTGTCTTACCTCTAAAATTTTTTCAAAAATAACCCTACTGTCACTTTTTTCCCGGTAACTCAGTAAACCTACTTCCCTTAAATTTTTACAATCCTTTTGTCCCCCCCCCCCCTTTATATAAAGAACTATACATGCCTCTGCCAATCCCAGGTACCTTCCCCTCTTTCATACATTTATTAAACAAAAATACCAACCACTTCAACACTATATTCCCCCTCTGCTTTTAACATTTCTGTCATGGTCCCATCAGTTCCAGCTGCTTTACCCCCTTTCATTCTATGTAATGCCTCATGCACCTCCCCCACACTCACGTCCTGCTCTTCTTCACTCCTACAAGATGTTATACCTTCCTGGCCAGTGCATGAAATTACCACCTCCCTTTCTTCATCAACATTTAAAAGTTCCTCAAAATATTCCCACCATCTACCTAATATCTCCAGCCCCCCATCTATTAACTCCCCTACTCTGTTTTTAATTGACAACTTTATTCGTTCCCTAGGCTTTCTTAATTTGTTTATCTTACTCTGCAATTTTTTTTTATTTTCATTGAAATTTCTTGACTGTCTCTCCCACTCCATCATCTGCTTTCCATTTGCACTCTCTCACCACTCTCTTCACCTTTCTTTTACTCTCCATATACTCTGCTCTTCTTTTAACACTCTTTTTTAAAAACCTCTCATAAGCTACCTTTTTCTCTTTTATCACATCCTTTACTTCATCATTCCACCAATCCCTCCTCTTTCCTGTTGCACCCTCCCTTTTATAGCCACAAATTTCTGTCCCACATTCTAATACTGCATTTTTAAAGCTATTCCAACCCTCTTCAACCCCCCCACTACTCATACTTGCACTAGCCCACCTTTCTGCCAATAGTTGCTTATATCTCACCTGAACTTCCTCCTCCCTTAGTTTATACACTTTCACCTCTCTCTTACTTGTTGTTGCCATTTTTTTTTGTCCCATCTACCTCTTACTCTAACCGTAGCTACAACTAAATAATGATCCGATATATCAGTTGCCCCTCTATAAACATGTACATCCTGAAGCCTACCCATCAACCTTTTATCCACCAGTACATAATCTAACAAACTCCTTTCATTAAGTGCTATATCATACCTTGTATACTTATTTATCCTTTTTTTCATAAAATATATATTACTTATTGCCAAACCTCTTTCTACACATAGCTCAATTAAAGGCTCCCCATATTCATTTACTCTTGGCACCCCAAATTTACCTACTACTCCCTCCACAACATTTTTACCCACTTTAGCATTGAAATTCCCAACCACAAATACCCTCACACTTGGTTCAAAACTCCCCATGCACTCACTCAACATTTCCCAAAATTTCTCTCTCTCCTCTACACTTCTCTCTTCTCCAGGTGCATAAATGCTTACTATAACCCACTTTTCACATCCAACCCATATTTTACTCCACATAATCTTTGAATTAATACATTTATATTCCTTCTTTTCCTGCCATAACTTATCCCTCAATATTATTGCTACTCCTTCTTTAGCTTTAACTATTTGAAACCTCTGGCCTAATCACATTTATTTCTCCCCATTGAAACTCTCCCACCCCCATCAGCTTTGTTTCACTTAAAGCCAGGACATCCAGCTTCTTCTCGTTCATAACATCCACAATCATCTCTTTCTTATCATTCGCACAACATCCACACACATTCAAACATCCCACTCGTCTACTGTGTAATTTACCCACCTCACAGACCTACCTACACATATAACCAACCCAGAGAATGGTAATTATTCATTTGTATCCTCCTTCCTTCATTTGAATAGACTAATCTTTCTTCCCATACGTCTACATATTCTCATCAAGAGAAAGATAGAGGTGGGAGAAGAGACACAGGTTAGTGAAATAATAGTGAGAGGCGGAGTGGTAATGACAGTGGTAGGAAAGTTACACGTTGGAGAAATGATAAGAATTGGAATCGTAAAGAAAGTAGGAGACACAAATGCAAGAACTGGAAAACTGATTATGCCGCTCTTCCAGGTTTAACTATCAAAGTATAGAGCATCTGATATAAGAAAGTGCATTATATAATCACAGAATTGATAATTAAAGTTTCTCTCATATGAGCTCCAATTAGCAATGTACAGTCAATGAATGCAGTTTACAATAGTGATTTTAAACACCCCCTAATTTGAAATAATTTTAAAAGCTATAATAATGTAAATGAATGAGACAGACTGCAATTTGAATCCTGTCTTTCTGATTGAGAATGTGTGACTGCTGATGCCAAGGAAGCAGCAGCAGTCAGTCATACTAACCTTTGACATTTTGTTGAAAAAAGACACTAGTAAGAGTGAAGCTACTTTTTCACCACTAGTCAGTATTATGCCTCCATTTTGCATCATTTGACATATTTAATGCATGGACAACTTATATATTACATACAACATGACTGGAGAAGTTTTAACACTGACCTGCAGCCATTTGTGGCTTATGTTAACATATGATTCAAAATCTACACAGTCACTACCAAGGTAACACAATATAAGTATTTAACCTCTATTCAGTAAAATATACAATACTGCATTACAAAACCTGACTACATTATTAAATGCAATCCCTAAAATACAGTAAAATACAGAAGCTTTTCTCCTTTTTTTTTAAGCTCAATGGCCATCTTTTGCCATGGCAGGGTGACCTAAAGAAGAAAACACATTCACTATTATTCATTACATTGCTGTTTCCTAAAACATGCTGACATCACAATCAGATATACCATACTTTCACAGGAAATTTTCAACATCAGTTGAACATGAGAAAACAAAGAATGTGTAACAAAACTCACGGGTTGAATACAGCGAAGAACTGGGCTTCTTCTTGTCCATCATTAGTCGACCTAGTACTGCTTCTTTGTTGCTTGATGATATTTGTCATATCCAGCATAACAATACCAAAAGGCCTGAATTAAAAAAAATATTATTAGATGGCAGGAAACACCATATGCAGAGAGTAAAGAAATGACCTTTGATTATTTTAACTGAAATAAAGTCCATGCCATACTGGTATTACTACTAACTCTACTCTGTAGCTTGGAATTACACTTACCCTACTCACATTCCTTTTTATAACCACTGCAGTTAATGGTCACAGCACACACAAAAAAGGAAGCAACTTATTAGGAAAACTCAATAAGGGTAATATGATGACTTTTCTCATTTCAAGTAGAAGCAACTAGCAGTTACCTTTTATTCATATTATCAAAATATTGTTTTCATGTATTTTTTTAACAAGTCGGCCATCTCCCACTGAGGCAGGGTGACCCAAAAAGAAAGAAAATCCCCAAAAAGAAAATACTTTCATCATCATTCAACACTTTCACCTCACTCATCCATAATCACTGTTTCTGCACAGGTCCTCAGAATACAACAGTTTAGAAGTATATACATATAAAGGGGTGTTAATGTTGCAGTTTAAAAAATGTAGTGTAAAGCACCCTTCTGGCAAGACAGTGATGGAGTGAATGATGGTGAAAGTTTTTCTTTTTCGGGCCACCCTGCCTTGGTGGGAATCGGCCAGTGTGATAATAATAATAATAATAAAAAAAAGATACACAACATATCACTCCAAACTGCCAATATCCCAAACCCCTCCTTTGAAGTGCAGGCATTGTGCTTCCCATTCCCAGGTCTCAAGTCTAGCTATATAAAATAACTGGCTTCCCTGAATCCCTTCACTAAATATTACCCTGCTCACACTCCAACTTCTACGATAATGTATGCCCATTGAATAATTCATCACTCATCAATACATTCCAACAATGTACATGTATAGTACACCTTGCAATCCATCCTCAAAATTACAGCTGTTTTCTAATTCACTTCAAAGAATTGCAATGCATTAGTAGACAACATTTCCTTCATGTATAGTATCTGCAGTGAATTTTCTTAGTTCATAATTTTAAACATGGGGAAGCACTAAACCCATAGGGGTCAATGGTGTCAAGGGAATGGGAGGCATTCAACACTGATCCAAGGAAGAGTGGGTTAAGTCAGATTTCTTGGATCAAAAGCTCTTCATCAGCATTTAGACACCTTCCTTGAGGGAAACTTTTTTTAAGTTGCAAAAGTCCACTACATATGACTCACAGGACAGGTGGGGCTTGAACTTGTGGCAGGTGAGTCCTAAACTTTGTAGACCTGTATGTTTAACCACTGGTCCATGCTGGCACAGACCAGTAGTTTAGCACACTAGCCTGTGAGTTTAGGATTCAACTGCCATAGATTTGAGCCCCACCTGTTTTGTGATTTGTTTGCAATTGAATTATTACAATTTCATTAGTCAAGATTCACTGCATATAAATGGAACATTGTGTAACTCTGTAAATAAAGATTTCTCTATTTTCTTGAGTATTTCTTTCACTACTTGTCACCAAAAAATTAAAAAAATTACACAAATGAGAAAGACACTTTCTTGGTAATGAAGACTCAGTATATTTAATTTTTATCAAAGATAGAAATTATTTAATTTGTATCTTTAATAAAAATTAAATATACCAGTGGTATGAGGAAGGGCTGCATTCTGTTACTAAACTTTATACTAACCTTCTCATTGAATCATTAGAAGTAATTTTCTTTCCTGATACTGATGAGATTCTACGAGGATCTACTTCTTTACTGGCCATTGACCCCAGACGAATAACCGAACCTATCAACCACAGATTATTTTCATCTAAAGCTGCTGTGCTTAAATCCTGCAAAGAGCAAAATTGCTAATGTGCTTTATTTGTTTATATTTAATAATAAAAGATACATTATACAATTTTTTCCTAACTCTAAAATTAATATTTGCTTGTATCAGTGTGTCAACTACAAATGGATTCAATATGCCAATAATCCCACAATACTGTGACTATACTACACGGATATTAATATATTTATGTCATTTCTCACCGTAAAAAGACATTGCAACTTGAGAAGCAGATCTGGATGACCATTATATCCATCATCGGTCCATGGAATGACAAATGCTTCAGTGAGTGGCTTTTCTCTGCCTTCCCGAGGATCACCAGTGTATAACCCAAGTGAGATCTCGGAAGGTTCAGGAACCTTGCCAGAAATATAAAACAATTAGTTCCACATCAAAAGTACCTATATTATTGCATCCTTTATCTCCTATTGAAAGGGTCTTCCTCTGCATAAATCTATGTTAAATATATTTTACTTGTCACCCTTTCCAACTGCCTAACTCTGCATCTCTCAAGAAAATACAGCACTACTATCACTCTTAACAGTAGTACACTTTTTTATTACTATGATTTAAACAACATTCAGTAACAGAGGTTATGCCACTCTAGAGCAACCTGTTTGTTATTTTCTTACATTATTGTCCTTTTTTCTACATTTCAGCCAACTGATAATTTAATCCTATTCCAATAATTTTGCTCAATGTATTTCAACAACTATTACTGCCATCTGTTACTTCTCCATTTTCAGTCTTATTTGTATTTCTGGTCTCCCATTTCTCAGGTACAGTTCTGTAATGCTGTATTTTGGAGTTCAACAAGTTAAGAAATCCTAGGTAACGAATGAATTTGTCAGTTAAAAACAGAGTAGGGGGGTTAGTAGATGGCGAGATGGAGGTTTTGGGTAGATGGTGGGAATATTTTGAGGAACTTTTAAATGTCGACAAAGAAAGGTAGGCGGAAATTTCATGCACTGGCCAGGGAGGTATACCATCTTTCAGGAGTGAAGAAAAGCAGGATGTGAGTGTGGGGGAGGTGCGAGAGGCATTACATAGAATGAAAAGGGGTAAAGCAGCTGGAACTGATGGGATCATGACAGAAATGTTAAAAGCAGGGGGGATATAGTGTTAGAGTGGTTGGTATTTTTGTTTAATAAATGTATGAAAGAGGGGAAGGGACCTAGGGATTGGCAGAGAACATGTATAGTTCCTTTATATAAAGGGAAGGGGGACAAGAGAGATTGTAAAAATTATAGACGAATTAGTTTAACTAAGTATACCAGGAAAAGTGTACAGTAGGGTTATTGACAGAATCAGAGGTAAGACAGAATGTAGGATTGCGGATGAGCAAGGAGGTTTTAGGGTGGGTTGGGGATGTGTAGATCCAAGTGTTTACATTGAAGCATATATGTGAACAGTATTTATATAAAGGTAGGGAAGTTTTCATTGCATTTATGGATTTAGAAAAGGCATATGATAGAGTGGATAGGGGAGCAATGTGGCAGATGTTGCAAGTATAGAGAATAGGTGGTAAGTTATTAAATAATGTAAAGAGTTTTTATGAGGATAGTGAGGCTCAGGTTAGGGTGTGTAAAAGAGAGGGAGGCTACTTAGACAGGGATGTGTAATGTCACCATGGTTGTTAAATATATTTATAGATGGGGTTGTAAAAGGAGTAAATGTTAGGGATTTTGGGAGAGGGGTGGGATTAAATTATGGGGAATCAAATACAAAATGGGAATTGACATGGTTACTTTTTGCTGATGATACTGTGCTTATGGGAGATTCTAAAGAAAAATTGCGAAGGTTAGTGGACGAGTTTGGGAGTGTGTGTAAAGGTAGAAAGTTGAAAGTGAACATAGAAAAAGAGTAAGGTGATGAGGGTATCAAATGATTTAGATGAAGGAGTATGGAAGAAGTGAATGTTTTCAGATACAGTGGACCCTCAACCAACGGCATTAATCCGTTCCAGAGAGCTTGCCATTAGTCGAATTTGCCGTTGGTCGAATTAATTTTCCCCATAAGAAATAATGGGAATAGAATTAATCCGTTCCTGACACCCCAAAGTCCGAAAAAAAAAAAAAATTTACATGAAATATACATTTCCTTACACCAAAAAGAATGGGACATGCAAAATAAACAATAATTAAATGCCACTTACCTTTATTGTGGAGTTGTTGACTGATGTGCCAGCAGCAGGGGAGATTCAGGATTGTCTATTGCTTGGAAGGAGAATCCCCTTCCATAAAGACTTCAGGTACCAAGTCCTTTGGTGGGGTTACCTCCCTTCTTGGCTTTTTAATGCCACTAGGACCAGCTTGAGTCATTGGACCCCTGTCGCACAAAATATCCGTCCAGAGAGCTCTGTTTCTCACTTGTCCTTAGGATTTCCCTAAAATGGGACACAAGAGTGTCATTGTACGTGCTACTAATGCAGCTTGCAACTTCTGTGACAGGATAAAATTCATTGATAAATGCTTGCACCTTTGTAAACATTGAACACATTTCCCTAATCCTTGACGAAGTCAACTTCCTCCGTCACTCTTCATCCTACTCTGAAGAACATTCCTGAGATGTGATCTGTTGCTGTTGCACCTGAAGCTCTTGCAGGTAAGCAGTGGTTAGTTCTTCCTCGTCATTCTGTACCAACTCTTCCACATCCTCATCACAAACCTCCAACCCCACGGACTTCCCCAATGACACAATAGCTTCCACTACTGCCAGAGCCTCCTGAGGGTTAGCCCCAAACCCTTCAAAATCCCTCTGTTCTACACATTCTGGCCACAGTTTCCTCCAAGCAGAGTTCAAGGTCCTCTTAGTCACTCCCTCCCAAGCCTTACTTATAAGGCTTACACAACTGAGGATACTGAAGTGACCTTTCCAAAACTCTCTTAGGGTCAATTGAGTGTCTGAGGTCGCTTCAAAGCACTTTTGAAACACTGCTTTTGTGTCGAGTTTTCTGAAGTTTGAAATGACCTGATGGTCTATGGGCTAGAGGAGGCAAAAACTTCACCTTAACGAAACCAAACTCCCCTGCAATTTCCTCTTGCAAGTCGTGAGGATGAGCAGGAGCATTGTCCATTACCAGGTAATTTTTCACAGTGGGGGCCAAACACACCATAAAACCAGTCCAAGAAAAATTCCCTAGTGACCCATGCCTTACTGTTTGATCTCCACAGCACACACAAATTACGCTTGACGATAGTTTTTCTTGAACACTCTGGGAATATCAGAGTGATACACCAATAAAGGCTTCATTTTGCAATCACCACTAGCATTACTACACAACATTAACCCTTTCAGGGTCAGCAGGCTCTCTCCTAAACTTGTTCTCTGAGTAAAAAACTTTTTGAAAAAAAAAAAAAAAGTTGTGAAATGATAGAGAATCTTTTCCCGATCACAATGACACCAAAAGTACTGATGGTTGAATGTGATTTGTTGTACAGCCTTTCCAACTCGGCCATACGGACTCCACTCTCGTATTTTTCAATGATCTCTTTCTTCATTTCCATTGTAATTCTCACCCTTTTTAACACAGGCTTGGCACTAGAAGCTTTCTTGGGGCCCATGGTGGCTTATTTAGCAGTTACAAGCACTAAAAACACTGGAATAATCCAAAATATACGGCAGGCACACGTGGAAACCGACCACAACAGCTTGTAAACAATGGCACATTGAGTCTTGGAGTGGCTGGGCCCGCACAGGCCGCACTCCCGGCACATGGACATGTTCTGGACGAACATCGTTGGTAGAGAAATTTTTTTATGCCAAAAAGCGCCGTCAGACGAAATTGCTGTTACTTAATACCGCCGTTAGTTGAGAGTCCACTGTATTTAGGAGTTGACGTGTCAGCAGATGGATTTATGAAGGAAAAAAGGTGAGTGGTGCGTTAAGGTATAAGTGGAGACAAAAAATGTTATCTATGGAGGCAAAGATGGGAATGTATGAAAGTATAGTGGTACCAACACTCTTATATGGGTCTGAAGCTTGGCTTGTAAATGCTGCAGCGAGGAGACGGTTGGAGGTAGTGGAGATGTCCTGTCTAAGGGCAATGTGTGGTGTAAATATTATGCAGAAAATTCGGAGTGCGAAAATTAGGAGAAGGTGTGGAGTTAATAAAAGTATTAGTCAGAGGGCTGAAGAGGGGTTGTTGAGGTGGTTTGGTCATTTAGAGAGAATGGATCAAAGTAGAATGACATGGAGAGCGTATAAATCTGTAGGGGAAGGAAGGCAGGGTAGGGGTCATCCTCGAAAAGGTTGGAGTGAGGGGGTAAAGGAGATTTTGTGGGCGAGGGGCTTGGACTTCCAGCAAATTTGCATGAGTGTGTTAGATAGGAGTGAATGGAGACGAATGGTATTTGGGACCTGACGAGCTGTTGGAGTGTGAGCAGGGAAGGGATTCAGGGAAACCGGTTATTTTATATAGCCGGACTTGAGTCCTGGAAATGGGAAGTGCAATGCCTGCCTTTTAATAGAAGGGTTTGGGATATTGGCAGTTAGGAGGGATACGTTGCGTATCTTTATACGTATATGCTTTTAAACTGTTGTATTCTGAACACCTCTGCAAAAACAGTGATTATGTGTGAGTGAGGTGAAAGTGTTGAATGATGATAAAAGTACGTATTTTCTTTTTGGGGATTTTCTTTCTTTTTGGGTCACCCTGCCTCTGTGGGAGATGACCGACTTGTTAAAAAAAAAAAAATACACATTTTCATTAATCCACCTAAGATATTTTCTTCAAAATTATAGAAGAAACACATCACATAGCATATAAACTTGAAATGTTTATATGCAATGTATGTTTAATAATAATCACTCTTGGGCACATTAAATGTCTTATTTTAGGTTAATATAGACATTTTCAATAATCCATCTATGATATTTTCTTCAAAATTTTATAAGAAGCACATTACATAGCATATAGCATATAAACATGCAATGTTTATATGCTACAGAGTGGTCAGTCAGATGGAGGGTAAACATTATGCTTTCTCTGGTCGAGCATTAGAGAAAACTGTGAATCTGGTGTTTGGCCCAATCACCGCCCTTAACACGTGTTTGTTTACAATTCTCGGCATGAATTATTCATTACTTCTCCCTTTGTATATGATGGCATCTAAAGGAAGTTGTTAGAAACAACTGAACTTAGTAACATGGTCTGTTGATGGTAGTAATATGGTTGTGTTCTGCAGTGTAGGTAGCCGGTAGGTGTAGCCCAGAGGGACTACATACATGTACCCACATCTACCAGCTACCTACACTAACTTCATACAAATAAATACTACTCACCTCTTGCCCTACATTAAGACTACAAATATTTTAAGTTAAGTAATGAATGTACTAGCTACTGAAGAGCTGCAACACT